TCAAATCTTTATTCCGGCGCCCTGATAATATCATATATGTCTAGCGGTTAGAAAAGTGGCATGTACAATCCGGACTGCCCCAAGCTTGTCAAAATCCATCAGAATTGCTGTTTAGGCTAAGTACACCTTGTGATTAGTCTATTATGTTTCAGTGAGGGAATTTTTTTCCAAATAATGAAATTTTTGGTAAATAATGACTTTTTTGGGCGGGGACTAAAGCGGCATGCGGGCGGTGGACGGTAAACCGGATTTTTCATTCTCATGGCCTTAGCTATGATCCCTGTGAGTCTGGAGTTTATTGAAGGGCGATTAGCTGAATTAATTAGCGAATATGTACGCGCAGTATCGCTCATACTCTAGTCATAGGCTAAATGCCTAAATGAAAACGTAACGTCACAAATTCTATTTTTATCCACCAATCACAAGTCAGAGCAATTCCTCTGTTTAGACGCATGTCATATTACAGGAGTTACAGTATACCTCCAGCAGCTAGTAACGCTCATAGGGTCTATGTCCCCCAGGGTACTGCCGAAACGTACCCTGGGTACGGTCTTGTATACCGGAACGTACCCTGGTAAATGTTCTATTTGATAGTGATATGGTTAGGGTTAGGGAGTAGGCATAGGCGACTCCCTAGACTCGTTAGTGGAGTAGGCGAAGAACGGTCCGGCATATTCGATAGTACCAGGGTACGTTCCGTTAGTACACTGGGGGACATAGACCCTCTCAGCGCTAGTAACAGGGAAATATAATAATTAATATTACAAACACGGCTACGCAAAATTATTATGAAACTACAGCAATGTTTACCAGTTTTACAGGGGAGTGCAAGTGCACGGTTCGGTTCAGCTGTTTGTTGTTGACGTAACTAGTAGTAGTAGTACTAGTACTAGGCCCTATTTACTAGTAATAGTATTAGTAGTAACCTACTCTAGAACTCTCTCGCTCTTACTCTTACTACTTACTAGTACTAGTACTAGAGTACTAGTCTTAGTTAATTTCAAATTTGATGTTTTTTCTAGAATATGTTTAGTCTATCCATAGTCTTAGATGATTTAATATTTATCACGTTTTGATGTCAACACCAACAACTGGAGGCTGACATCTTGGGGTTAAAGGTCATTTTTGTCCTCCGCCGTTTCCGTAAACCGGTTTTCATCGTCATCATCACCGTCATCGCTGTTTTAAAAACCCTCGAACATACAAAAAAATTATTAAAAAACTACAAAACAAATAATAAAGGGAAATATCTTCTACACATACGAACTTTTTTGCTCTGACGACTTATTTTCTTTATAACTTTTAGAACTATTTTTTGAGTGAGAGTTTTGCGCAAGTTTTTTTCTGTGTTTTGGTTGTCTTGTCACTGCCCTCTAGCGGATCACTATATCTCCCTTGTGTAAAATTCTCTCAATATTTTTGGTTGTGCATTGCAGACATTGTCCGTACGGCTTACCGTTGTACTACTACTTGTAGACGAAACAACTAGTACTAATCAACTGGCAATAAACACTATAAACTGCGTACTTAAATACTAGTCAGTAGGTGCATTTAAGTACATTGAGGATACATAGTTGATACGCGAAAATTGATTAACTGTGAGCCGCGATTTTAAGCTGCATGTAGAAAATTATCCGCGGTAAAATTGCTTCCAAGACAGACAATATTGACTCGAGACGCATTATAAACAATATCGTATCATTAAACCGTGTAATTATTCAATATTTCAGACATCTGGTACGTGCCATTTGACAGCAGCCTTGCAACTTCACAAGTACTATTCTTCGAAGTGCAAATGCAAGAGACTACACTGAAGACAAATCAGTCCAAGGCCAGGGTGTGTTTGTTTGGGCGGGTTACGTATTTTTGATCCTGCGCGCTGGCGAGGTGGGTTAAGCCCGGCGCACATGCCGAACATTTTGCTCAAAAACATTATCGTAGTAATGTTCCATGAAATGTTCGGCAATGTGCGATGAAAAAAGTCGCCGAACATTTGTTCCGAACAATGTTTCTGAAGATCGGAAATGTTTGATATCTCGAACATTATTCGTCGAATGTTCGTCAATGTGCGCTGAATGTCGAACAATTCTAGGAACATTTGTAAATGCCTATCACGCCGATTGGCCACACGCCAATCACGCGACTCTTTACAACACAGCTACTAGACGGCGCCACGAGGTTGTTCGCTGCAAAATGTTCGGCAATGTGCGCTCAGCAATTGTTCACCCGCACATTGCCAGACAAAAACATTTGTTCGGACGAACATTTGTTCGGACGAACATTTGTTCGGGAAAATGTTCGGCAATGTGCGCCAGGCTTTACGAGGTAATCGTGGTTTGTCATAGACGAATCCATCCGATCAGAATCATTTGATCATCGATGTTCCCAAACAAATGCAAACTTACCTGTTGCTCATAACCACAATGATTAGTCGTGAGATTTTGCACTGCTATCCTAATAATAGTAATATGGCATTGTTCTAGCCACGACACTATATTCACATGCTATATATATTTATTATTGAAATTTGAAGATTATTCTTTAGTTTAACGTCCAAGGAATTGTACGGTGTACGGAATGGGTGTCAAGGTTGATCGCTGATAGATAAGTATTTGTATGTCTATATATTTTATATGTAATTTATATATAACCACCAGCCCTATTTTCGACGAGGAGAGAAGGAACTAAAAATTTATATATAAAATTATCTAAAATATAGTCTATGCTGTATTGCCTTTCAGATTTCATCTGCACTTTTTTCATCTGGGTGTAATAACAACAAGTAGAATAAAATACTTGCGCTAGCCTGCAATGGATTCAAGCGGGAGCAATGACAACCAATTCATTGCATCCGTAAATGTCGAAGATAAATCTAAAAGCATTAGTGGAGGCCCAGTAAATACTTCACTACCCAACCTTGTGTGCGAGCTAGCAAGCATGCATAAGGAACAATCACTGACATTGGAAAAGCAGCAGCATGTCATCGTTGATCTAAAGGTGTGGCATTTTAGATAGATTTTTTGTGAATAAACAGCTTATTTAAACCATTGGTTACAGCTTTGGTAAATGACCAGGGTTGAGATTTACCACCAATGACCTCTAAACCGAGAATGGTTATAGCCCACACTGTACAGATATCAGGAGGCTATCAATATTGATAGACTCCTGATAAAATACATATGATATCTGCAGGAGTCTATCAAGTTTTATTGGTAACATGAGTTTTATTAATTAGTTGAGATTCGTAAGAAAGTCGCTGTGCTCTGTGTACATAATTATTCTCACAATAATCGTACATTGCACTAGTAATCCTTCATCAAACCAGTAATGAATTTTGAACTTTTTTTTGCAGAAACACTTAGCAAAAAGTAAGTTGATGGTTGCTTTTAAATTTAATCCACCAATATTTAAAAAATTACAACTGGAGCATGCTTTAAAATGTAAATGAGTTTAATTTTAAATGAACACATATAGCAGTTATTGTAAGGTAATTGGATTATCCATTGAACATATCTGATACAGCCCAGCATGAAGTGAAGGTCTTGGATGGGGAACGGGAGCAAATCAGCAGGAAACACTCCTCATATGAGACAATGAAGTGCAAACTTGAATCAACATGCACATATCTGCTAACATGTAGGTCAATAAATTTTGGAATCATTCGGTGCCAGAAGTGGGAACAATTTTGGTCATTTAAAACAAAGTGGATTAACGTTCCTGACTGATTTCATGAATAAAGAATTAACAAATTTAAGTATTAACACTCACGTTATTAATCTATATGTTTAAATTCAATTTCATATAGCTCAATGTAGTCATTGCATCCTTGTTGGTTATGTTACATAGTATAAATTTACTATATTTGGTGCCTGTAAAATGTAAATGGACTCGAATGCATTTTTAGAGTATCTAGAGCTCTAAACCTGTGGCCTAACAGCCTACGTATAGCTTTCTTACCAATTGCCACTTCCATCCCTGTAAATTTTGCCCATGTTTATATATAGGCATCTATTTCCCATGATTTAGGTCTGAATGATGTTGTAAATGAGAACTTTGGTCTAGCCGGCCAGATTCGAGAAGTGAATGGAAAATTCTCATTCCAGGAGAGGTACGTACAAGAACATTATCAAGCCTGCCACGTAAATCAGCAAACACACGTGCTTTGTGATGGTTACACATGTATACTGACGGTTCCTTTATATATAACAGGGCTCTATGTACGTATATCTATGTGCTACCTGTAAGTAGAGAGCAGATGCTTTGTTAGTTCACTGGTATGCAATAAGGTTCATGCGAACTGGTACGAGTATAGTACGCGTTTATTATACAGATTGTGTGCGAACTACGGCACTATGATGAAGCAATATACGGAGAAAGTTGATGAAGGGGAGGCGACTCACTACACCTATCAGCGGCTGACACAGCAGCAATCACAGCTGACACAGTTACAGCAAGAAGGTACACATTTAAAAGTAGCAAGCTGCACCCGGAGCACACCTGCTACACGTAGTATGCTAAAACCGCATTCTTACGTCAGAAAACGCACGAGTGTACACGTTACAGTTACTCAGCGCTACCTTTATGGCACCACAGACATGTAAGAAAAATATAATCGAAGATGATGCAGATAGGAGATGTTGCGTGAAAAGATCAAACAATATAGTGAATATATAATGCAACACAAGTGCCATAGTAGCTATAACATTTGCAGTAACAATATAAAACTATCAGGAAATTTCCATGTTACCATCGGTTAGTTATATGCTGTTTACTCTTCTTTTTTGAGCTGTTTATGAATCATTGACAAACAACAAATAAATCTGAGATTATAATGTTATTGCTCTATAGAGGCGAGGCTGTTTGCAGAAGAGGATTATGCTCAGGTCATCAGTGGAAAGCTGGCAGGACAACTGGAACAAGAGACAAGCTCACTGCAGCAGCAAGTGAATCAGCAAGAGCAAGATATCAACACAAAGCAAGAGCAGGTTTCTCACGTTTTTCAACGCCGACGAATACGCTGTTTTACTTTAGGAATCCTGTACATTGTCACACGTCCTAACCATAACCTGAACCCCTTAGGCCAAAACAAAATATAGGTGTGGTTACCGTTTCCCGACCGACCCTATTTATTCCCAGCGACCCTAAACATTTTATTGTCAATTTTCAGTTTTGTCAGTTAAAGTAAAAAAATATATAAAAAAATGAAAAAAATATAAAAATGAATTGGACAGTTCCTGCTTCAAAAGGCACAACGCACATGGTTCGTAAATAAAATGTTTCAATAAAATAAAATGTTTTCCCTACCTACCTACCCTATTTTTTTCCGGCATGAAACGGTAACCACACATATATTTTGTTTTGGCCTTATCGTAACCCCACCATGTACGTATGAGTGGCCCTAAAGTAGACTTGACCGAAGAACGTTTGTCCTCCAATACGTGCTCGTGTCGAGCTGTTATTACACATTCTCCTAAACCATATGCTATGGTCTCGAGTACAATGTAGCCAAACTAAAGCATGATTGTAGATTCGGAGGTGCATTATGACACTTTAGTGTAGTAAGCAGTTCTCCGCATTTGTTACAATAATTTACTGTGAAAGCACTTTATGTATGCAGGTGGAAAAAGAAAAATCAAAACAATCGCAGCTGAATCAAGATATTCACGTTTTACATGTAAGTACAGTGTTATCATAAAATACGTCTAGCCTAGATTACATTTTCTTACAGTGTAATGGGAACGACTATAAGTGTGACAGTGTGAGAGAAAGGAAGGGAGAGAGAGAGAGAGAGAGAGAGAGATGAGAGAGAGCACCTCAGAGACGCACGAGGAGAGAGCCGATTGTGGGGGAGATGACCGAGGAGAGGAGACGCGGGTGGCAGTGAGTGTGAGAAGTGACGGCGGAGCCGCAGTGAGGAGTGAGAGAGTGCGAGGAGAGGAGAGAGAGAGGAACGAGAGATGGTTGACATGAGAGACGAGGAGAGATTCGGAGAGGAGACGAGAGAGAGGAGAGAGGAGAGAGAGAGAGAGGAGAGAGAGAGAGAGAGAGAGAGAGAACGTACATGCATGCGTGTGTGCATGTGAGAGGAGATCAAAAGGCAGAGGGAGGAACTGGAGCGGGAGAGAGAATGAGACATAGAGAGAAGTGAGAGAGAGGGAGAGAGGAAAGAGCAGGAGAGAGGAACTGGAGCGGGTGGGGGGAGCAAAGGAAGGAAGGGCGTTAGGGATGCATATACAGTTGCTTCCAATCATGTCACTCCCATAAATTGCAAGTAATTATTCCACCGATAACACTGCGAAAAACAAGCATTCTAACACGGTAAAAACCCACGTAAATGTCGTGTGCATAACAAAACATCGTTTTGCTTGGAATCAGAAGAGAAACGGTGCTCAGCTGCTAAGGATGAGAAGGCAACTGAGACAGTTGCAGGCCAGGAATAGACAGTGGAGCAAGGAAGCATCGGAGCTGGAACACACGGTTGAACAGCTGAGAAGAACCACGAGTTGTGTGTGAATAAAATGAGTTGTTTGTGTGTTTATATTTACACCACAAATTGTACCCGCTTTCATGACATTATAATTTCTATAGATAAAACGCGGTATTCAATGCAGTTATCATTCTTACATACTTTTATTTTGGCTTACTAAATCTTTACACAGCAGTATGCTAGTATGACAACAATTCTGATGCAATAAATTCCAAATACTTGTGCAGGAGAGCTTTAAGATCAACAAGAGTTGCAGAGCGTTTGGACTCATCTGAGGTCTATTGCTACGGTTATAAACGTAACATTTAAGTCGTGCGTAGTGAGACCCTTTGACCTGTGACCTCCAATTTCGCACTGGTGATGGGTTTCCTGCCCATCACACTATACACCGAATATTAAGAGCATAGGTCTGGCCGTTCAGATTTGTGCCGCAATTCTGCATTTCCTCCCTATACCTTAAGTTAAGGAGGGAATGTTCCCTTCTTTTACACCTCTTGACCTTTGACCTTTGACCCCCAGCTTCAACATCCCAACTCGTTTTCGGATTACCCCCCTACGTCCCGACTTTCGAATCCGTACGTCGAGCCATTTAGATTTGTGCCCAACTGTTGACGGACGCACGCACGCAAGCACGCTCATGCGAGAGAAGGAAGTTTGTGCTGATGCAGAAACTACCGCGCTGCGAGACTGTTTACGCGACATGCCCATGTTGATTAGCGATATGATAACGTAAAAGGGACCACTGTACTACTGGCAATAGCAATAAATGCCACAATTGGGTTTACATAAGGGTGACTACACTATGGTACCACTATGGTCATGGTCATGGTACACTATAGTGATGTTATGCAGCTTCAACTACATTTACCTACCAATTCCCAGGACTAGAATCAATACCGTGAACAGAATATACTAATGTTCAAGTTGGAGCTTGATTGTTGGTACAACGAATATGAATAAGAAATGATGGGTAAAACCAACAGACTTCCAACAGACATTCAGCCACGATACGAGCTGAGTAAAACTACTCTGATGGACACAAATGCATATGGATGCTTTAGCTAGATATTGTAGCTAAAGGCACACGACTCGGGCAATCGTAACAGAATAGTAATCGCAAACAAATTCCGTAGAAAAGCTTATGATCTTCACGTGGAAAACTAGTTCCATCTTAGCATACAGTGAAGGCCATTAACCACGGCTGCAATTAGCCATGCACACCTCTACACTTAGGCCCTGGAGTCTTGATGCTACAAACATGCATGTGCATGCACGGCAATCAATAACAGATGCACGTGAGTACATGTTAAACATATCTGAGGCAGGGGCGTGTACAAGGGGGGGGGGGGTCCAGGGGGTCCGGACCCCCCCTGCTCGCACAGAAAAAGCATCTAAGGGGGTCTAATTTCAAAATGTTTATGGGGGAAGGCCCCCCCTTCGCGTGCTCGCAAGTTTCGGTTACGGTTAGACCCCCCCCCCCTGGTACAAATCCTGTACACGCCCCTGTGAGGTGATACAATCTTTTCCCTGCAGCACACCATATGCTATGTATGCTAAGCATGCGGATAACCCATATATATATACATCGAGATACGTCCTCATGAATACAGTCTTGAAGAAAGTTGCAAGACAATTCTCACACCAACAGCCACAATAATAATATGAGGCATCCAGCCACTGTACACATGCGAGTGATAGAATATCCCAACTGACGACAAAGCATGTATGAAACTGGCCACGATGACACAAGATGTATGGCACTACCCACGGTGGCAGGCCATGCATGGAACTATAGGTACTATGTAGTACGTATAGCACTCAATCTTCATGCTTCTGTCGCACACACATTAGCAGGAGCTGGGCCCAGCACCTCGAGTCTAGTGACACACCACAGCACAGGTTATGCTACATCACAAACACCTTCTCCAGGTCAGAAGCCATAAACGCCTGCTTGGTGCGTGGACACGTGATCTTGCCTCCATTCTCCACGGCCATGCTCAACAATGCCTAGAAAGACAACATCACAGAAACTCACTGAGTCACGAGAGCAACGCGCATGCGAGTGTTATCGATTAACTTTCTTATTCAATCATCTTACTCAATCAGCGCTGCGTGAGAACTTTTTGAAATTTTGAAAACTCCCACATCACAGCATAACAAAATAGCTTCTAGATTAACAGCTGATATTAGTACCATAGCTCTGTAGTACTGATGTACACATGCATAGAAATACGAACTTACGTTTTCGCCGTATACATAGCCATTTGAAGCATCATCGGGATGGTTGTGTCGTTCAGAGGTTTTACCGGACAGATGACAGACCAGGCGTGACTGGGCAGCAGTGAGGCACGGCAGTTGTAGGCCAGGTCATTCAGGTATTGGCTACTACAACGGCCAAGTCGATCAATTGTGTCTTCATGATACCAATTGCTGTAGGACACATGGCTAAGGAAGTCGCAACGACTAGAAAGGTGTGCCGCACATGCTATATATTATAGTTAATCTATGATTATAGGAAAAACCACTTGCTCAGCTGTTAATCCAGACAAGAGTAAACGGCTATGCGTATGCCATCTGCTTTGTCCTAACATCGATTGTTTACATGATTAATCATTCACACGGAAAGAAGACTCACTCCTCAATGTACTCACTGATAGAAACCAGTTAATGCGTGGGTGACACTAGCTGTGATCTTCTGCCTCAAGTAGTATGAGTTTCCACATCACCAATGTGGCACATTTCACACGAATCTAGGGATGAAAACGTACCTGAAGCCCCCCGAAGCTTTCAAACATGGACATAGTTTCTCAGTTTTTTTTTACGCTCGGCCCTATTAAGATGCTGGCTTCTTTGAAAGTGGTCAGAATTTGCGCGCAGCCATGTTATAGAGTGGCAAAGATTTGTCGTTGATCTAAAGAGCCTGATAAGGATACGGCAGTCTTCAGTGGCAGACAGCGCAGCCTGTAGTGTCACCGTAAACGACGAGTTTAGTTGTTACAGCTCACACACACCTCACTGCGAAACTCCTTCACCAGCTGCTGCCACCTAGTGGGATCCAGGCAGTTCCTATAATATAATAATAGTTTCTACATCTCAGTCTTTCTGCGTTTTATATATTTTATACACAATATCTTAAACCTAGGCAGTCATAAAACAGTATTTGTTATACGTGTGCGTTTTTTAATCAACAACTGTATATGTTTAAATACAAAAATAAGATGCAGAAGTTACACAACAGTTAGAGTAAGAGATTTTATGATAGTGGAATATTGAATGTTTTCAATCCGTTTAATAACCTGGGGAAATGACGGCAATGTCGATACTTCGATCCAGTACCTGCTGTGTACTGCATGGTCCATAGTATATGAACCACGTTATTTCAATGATTTATAATCTAACAGTTCTTGAATAATTTCATCGATCTACTATAGTTTCGAGCATAAAAATAAAGTTTATTTCAAGCTAGATCCAAAATAAGATATAAAAGTAATTACACTGACAATTCGATCCATCTCTGCCGAAGTCTATTGCGAGAGATGCGACGAAATTGTCGTCAGTGTAAGTATTTAAAATTATTATTGGATCTAACCGAGCATAAACTTTATTTTTATATAATCTAATATTGTTTACGCCTGTATGGATACACCTCTGTACTCAGAGGAAAGCCAACAGGCGCATGGTTCGTTGAAGCATGACATAAACTGTTGACGCTTCTAGGTTTCACAAAGTATTTCCTTGCATGACTGAAATTGCAAAAATAATTTTACATTCGAGCCCTCTATGGATGATTTATGTGCCACACAGACACGCACAGGCGCCAAAGTCGCATGTAGAGTTGAATAAATATTAAGCCAGGCCTATGTGCTATAGTGGTAAACGCTATTTATGGCATATAATTTACTTTTATATATATATATATACTATTCAAAATTGCAGATGCACTATTATTAGCAAGGTGCCATATATCAAACAGCCAAGACTTGTTATAAAATATTAATTCTAATTTACTCAATATTAACAAATCCAGCATGCAGAAATATCACTGAATTTAACTCATGAATGAGAATTATCAGCTTGACAGCCTGTAACCGTAGATTTTTCCTGAATCAACTGCAATAAATTCCTGCTGTCTTAGGTTGAACTAGGGTTAGCTCTGAATGATGACACAAACATGAACTGATTATGTTAGAACTTATAAAACAATCTACCTCTGAACCTCAAAAAAATGTGTTAATTAGGTATTTCTTCATATTTTTTTCTGTTCCAAATAATCTCGTATGTAAATTGCAGACCTTTAAAATGTGCTACCAGTTGAAATACTAGTAAGTTTTTGAATCTGGTTGAATAGAAATATATGACTTACTTTTAGTTTTTAAACTTGATTTGTTGTGCATAGCACCATGACAGGCATCTGTCGTGTCATGATTTTGCAAGGGCGATTCCTGCGACTTCTTTGCACTAATGAAAAAGTCTAGTTTGTCAGATCCTATTGTAAAGAACAAAATCGAGTAAAATCACACTAGTAACCGCAATCTATGAGCAATAGTTCAGCAAGCAAATTCAGTGGCAACACTGCTTGAGCGTAACACCCTAATTAGATATAGCGCGGTTTTAAAGGCATGGTAAAAGAAAAACCACTATCGGAAAGTTTAGCTATGAAACGTATTGTTCATGCTCCTATATTCTCACACAAATCAAAAACATGCTACGACGCCTTGCCTACAACCGCCTGGCTACGTAACACTGCCCTGCTAGCGTACACTACCCGTTACCGTACACTGTCCTGTGCTACTACCTGTCCTGCTAACGTATACACACACTGGCCCTGCTACGTACACTGCCTGCTACAGTACACTACCTGCTACGTACAGCTGGCGCTGCCCCGTAGCACTGCCTGCACGTACACTGCCCTGGCTAGCGTACAACTGCCTGGCTGTACGTACCGGCCTGCTTACGTACATCTGGCCCTGGCTACGTACCACTGCCCTGCTACGTACCTGCCTGCTACGTACACTGCCTGCACGTACACTGCCTGCACGTACCTGCGCTGCTACGGTACACTGGGCTGCTACGTAACATGTCCCTGACTACGTACCCGGCCCTCTACGTAGCACTGCCCTAACTACGTACACTGCCCTGCTACGTACACTGCCCTGCTACGTACACCGCCCTGCTACGTACACTGCCCTGCTACGTACACCGCCCTGCTACGTACACTGCCCTGAACGTACACGAGGTCAGCGGCCAGAATAGCGCCCGTCCCGCCTGAGCTACGTACACTGCCCTGGCTACCGTAGCACTGGCCCTGCTAGCGTGAGCAGCGCGCACCTACCTACTACACTGCCCCTGGCTACGTACACTGCCGCTGCTAAGTCGTACACCGCCTGCTACGTACACGTGCGCCTGCTACATACACTGCCCTGCTACGTACACTGCCGCATGCTAGCGTAGCAGACGCCGCTACACGTACACTGCCCTGCTACGTACATGCGCGCTGCTAGTACATCGCGCCCTGCTACGTACCTGCCCTGCTACATACACTGCCGCTGCTACGTAACACTGCCCTGCTTAACGTACACCGCCGCTGCTACCGTCACTGCCTGCTACGTGCAGCCGCCTCCTACGTACACGGCGCCTGCTACGTACACGCCCTGCTACATACCTGTCCTGCTACATACACTGCGGCTGCTACGTACACTACCCTGCCTACGTACACTGGCCCTGGCTACGACCTGCTACATAGCACTACCCTGGGCTACATACAGACTGCCTGCTACGTACACCGCCCTGCTACGTACACTGCCCTGGCTACGTCAAACGCCCTGCTAACGTACACTGCCCTGGCTACGTACACTGGCCTGACGTACACTGCGCCTGGGCTACGTAGCACCGCCCTGACTACGTACACTTGCCTGCTAGCGTAACAGCCGCCGCTGTACGACACTGCCCCTGCTACGTACACCGCCCTGCTAGCGTACATTGCCCTGCTACGTACACGAGCCCTGCTACGTACACTGCCCTGCTAGCATACACTGCACCTGCTAGAACCGTACACTACCTGCTACGTACACTGCGCCTGCTACGTACACCGCCTGCTACGTACACGCGCCCTGGCTACGTACACCGGCCCCTGCTACGTACAGCTGCCGCTGCTACGTACACTGCGCCTGCTACGTACACCCGCCCTCTACGTCACACTGCGCCTGTTACGTACAGCTGCCCCTGCTACGTACAGCTGCCCTGCTACGTAGCACCCCCGCCTCGCTACGTAGCACTGCGGGAGCTGCATACGTAACACTGCCTGCTACGTACACCCGCCCCTGCCTTACGTACACCGCCCTACTACGTACACACGCGGACCTGCTACGTACACTGCCACTGCTACGCTACACCGCCCTGCATACTGTAACACCGCCACTGCCATACGTAACCGCCGCTGGCTACGTACACTGCCTGCTACGTACACTGACTCTACGTACACCGCCTACTACGTACAGCGCGCGCCTGCTACGTACACGCCCTGGCTACGTACACTGCCCTGTAACGTACCACCGGCCGCTGCTCACGTACACTGCCCATGCTAGCGTAGCACTGCCCTGCTACGTACACTACCCTGCTACATACACTGCCCTGGCTACAACTACACTGCCTGCGTACGTAGCACTGCCCTGCTACGTACACTGCGCTGCTACGTACACCTGCCTGTAACGTATACACTGCCGATGGCTACGTACACTGCCCTGCTACGTACACCGCCCTGATACGTAACACCGCCCTGCTACAATACACTGCCCTGCTACGTACAGCTGGCGCTTGCTAACGTACACTGCCCTGCTACGTACACTGCCTGCTACGTACACTGCCTGCTACGTAGCACCCGCCTGCTACGTACACCGCCCTGCACGTACTGCCACTGGCTACGTAGCACTGGCCCTGGGCTATGACGCCCTAGCTACGTACACTGAGCATGCTACGACGCGCCTGCACTGGTACGTACACTACCCTGCCTACGTACAACTACCCTGCTACATACACTGGGCCCTGGTACGAACCGCTGCTACATACGCTACCCTGGCTAGCGTAGCACATAACCACTGTCTACATACACTGCCTTGCTACGACGCCCTGCTACATACGTAGCCACTGGCTACGTAACTACCTGCTAAATACACTGCCTTGCTACGACCCCTGCCTACATAGCACTGGCCCTGCTACGTACACTGCCTGCTACGTTACACTACCCTGCTAGCGACGCCCGCTGCTACGTACAATGCCCTGGCTACGTACACTACCCTGGCGTTACGTACACTGCCCTGGCTCACGTACACTGCCTGCTACGTACACTTGCGCTGCTACGTACAGCTGCCCTGCTAGCGTTACACTGCCGCTGCTAGCGTACACTGCCCTGCTACGTACACCTCCTGCTATCGTCACTGCCCTGCTACCGAACACTGCCTGCTACGTAACACTGCCTGCTACGTAGCACTGCCCTTGCTAGTACACTGCGCTGCTCACGTACACTGGCCTGCTACGTAAACTACCCTGGCTTAGCAGACACTCGCCTGCTAGGACGCCTGCGTAAGCAGACACTGCCCTGCGTACGTACAACATGCCCTGCTACGTACACTGCCCTGCTACGTACACTGCCTTGCTACGACCCCTGCTATATACACTGCCCTGCTACGACCCCTGCCCTGCTACGTACACTACCCTGCTACGTACACTACCCTGCTACATACACTGCCCTGGTACGACCCCTGCTACATACGCTACCCTGCTACGTACACTACCCTGCTACATACACTGCCCTGCTACGACCCCTGCTACATACACTGCCCTGCTACGACCCCTGCTACATACACTGCCCTGCTACGACCCCTGCTACATACACTGCCCTGCTACGTACACTGCCCTGCTACGTACACTGCCCTGCTACGTACACTGCCCTGCTACGTACACTGCCCTGCTCTGTACACTACCCTGCTACGTACACTGTCCTGCTACATACACTGCCCTGCTATGTACACTGCCCTACTATATACACTGCCCTGCTACGACCCCTGCTACATACACTGCCCTGCTACGACCCCTGCTACGCACACTGCGTTGCGTTACCTCGATGCCGACGTGCCTTGCTAGCCTCAGCGCCGTATCGTAGTAGCCGCAGCGCAGAAAATACTCGACCAGCATGCGATCGACGCGCTTCTTACGCCAGAGCGCCGCCGCGGGGCCGTTCTTCACGTCGTGCTCCTTGAGGTGGTCGATGCGACGCTTACAGACGCGCGCGGCGTCCTGCTCGTCCCCGACACTCTCCGCCGCCTGTAACACACAGACGCGTGTGACAACGGTCACCCGACACATCCAACCTTGATTCACGCATGCCGGTTTACAGAGGAAACAACGCTCACATAAACGCACTCACGCATAGTCAGACTATCAGAGGTAAAAATTTTACTTTTAAACAAGCGAGTCCAACGGACTCCCTGCCATCAAAAAGAGGGTGTCCGCAGCAAAATGAGGGAGTCTGCATTCTGAAGCTCAAAACTAAAGATTAACAAAAAGGACATTTGTGGTGCATGTCTGCCAAATTTTCTTAGGAAATTTGCTGCATATGTCAAATCAGGGAGTCCGACAGTAAATCAGCAAGTATTTGACTCCGGACTTAATTTTGAACCCTGCATATAGTGGTTTACAAAAGGAACAACGCTCACATAATATACGTACTCATGCATAGTGGTTAACAAAAGAAACAACGCTCACATATACGTGCTCATGCATAGTGGTTTACAAAGAGAACAACGCTCACATATACGTACTCATGCATAGTGGTTTACAAAGGAAACAACGCTCACACAAACGTACGGTACTCATACAGAGAACAGGAACAGAAAGTATTTGTTATGAACATCACTACGGCATTACACATAATTGTTTTAATTAAAGCCTGGTTAATCCTGCCCTGAATTTATTTAATCATTACCAGCTGGAAAACACATCCAATATGTTTCGAAGCCATTAACACACAATTCCAAGATCATGCATACATTGGTAATATTACAGATATCGAAGAATATACATTCATACTATTTTGTGTCAATACATGCATTATCATATATGTATATTCCAGCACTACAACTAGATACTTCCTCAAATACACACGTATGCATTTCAATACCTTGCTGTGCAACACTTCTGCATAACTATATATACTTCCTCTAACCTATGTGTGTGACACATGAGGCGTATAAACAGATTACAGATTTCTCTAACACACATGCATCAAATGCCTCGCAGTGTATTAATATATATACATTTTAGAGCAGCTAGACCTATTGTCGAATGCGCGCGTATCCGGATACCTTGCGTTTCATCGCATTGAGCTTGTCGACGACATTGCCTAGGATTCTGCTCACATCGCCGACAGTTGGCTTTTCCAGTAGCTTCGTCTCAAGGTCGGAAAGCTCTGTCTGGACACGTGCCACCTCCCTGTCAATGTTCTTCTGGGCTGACCTGAATTTCTTATTCAGGACTTCATACGGCACCTGTAGTGAAAAAACAAACCTTATGAACTTGCCTAATCATTAAAGAAAGAAATTAAAAGTTAATCAAGCTAAACGAGTTTTGCACGCGTTTTTGAATCGCGCACAGGCCAAAGTTGTCTACATTGCGGCACTGTGTTGGTGTACAGCAATTTTTGAACATCCCTATTGCGAAAACTATTGGCTAGAGCTACCTGTCAATCACTCCCAGAGGAAAAGTCAATGAGCCATTGATCTCAAAGAACTTACGTTTTCGCCGTATACATAGCCATTTGGAAGCATCATCGGATGGTTGTGTTCGTTCAGAGGTTTACCGGACAGATGACAGACCAGGCGTGACTGGGAGCAGTGAGCAAACGGCAGCTTGCTAGCCAGGTCATTCAGGTATTGGCTACACACGGGACAGTCCGGATTCATTGTGTCTTCATGATAGCATTGCCTGTAGAACACGTGGCTAAGGAAGTCGCAACGACTAGAAAGGTGTGCCGCACATGCTATAATTATAGTTAATTATGATTAATTATCAGGAAAACCGCTCTCGCTGTTAACTCCAGACAAGAGTAAATGCTATGCGTATGCATCTTGCTTTGTCCTAACCATCGATGTTTACATGATTTATCATTACACGGGAAAGAAAACTCACTTCCTCAATGTATCACTATAACAACCAGTTATGCGTGGTGACACTAGCTGTTATCTCTGCTTCAAAGTAGTATGAGTTTACAATCTCCAATGTGCACATTTACACGAATCTAGGGATGAAAACGTCCCCTAACCCCCCGAGCTTTGTCAAACATGGACACAGTTTCTTAAGTTTTTTTTTACGCTCGCCTATTCATATCTGGCTTCTGTTGAAAGTGGTCAGAATTTGCGCCAGCCATTTATAGAGTGCAAAGATTTGTCGTCCCGATCCAAAGAGCCTGATAAGGATACGGAGTCTTCAGTGCAGACAGGCCAGCCTGTAGCGTCACCGTAAACACGGAGTAGTTGTTCAGCTGATACAGCTTGAAATTCTCACTGCGAAACTCCTTCACCAGCTGCTGCCACCTAGTGGGATCCAGCAGTTCCTATAATAATAGTTTCTACAGATCAGTCTTTCTAGCTTTATATATTTTATACACAATAGCAGTCCTTAAAACAGTATTTTGTTATATGTGCGTTTTTATACAACTGTATATGTTTTAAATACAAGAATTAAGATGCAGAAGTTACAACAACAGTTGAGTTAAGAGATTTTATGTTAGTGGAATATTGAATCTTTTCAATCTGTTTTAATACCTGGGGAATGACCGATTCGATCTTCGATCAGTACCTGCTGTGTACTATGTCCATACTCATAGTATATGAAACCACATTATTCAATGATTATAATCTAACAGTTGATTGAATAATTTCATCGGATCTCTATAGTTCACATAAAAATAAAGTTTATCTCAGCTAGATCTAAAATAAGATATAAATACTTACACTGACAAAATTTTCGTCCATCTCTCCGAAGTCTATTGGAGAGATGGACGAAAATTTCGTCAGTGTAAGTATTTACAACTTATTTTGGATCTAACCGAGATAAACTTTATTTTTATATAATCTAATATTGTTTACCCTGTATGGATACACCTCTGTATCAGGAGGGAAAGCCAACAGGCCCATGGTTCGTTGAACATGACATAACTGTTCACCTTCTAGGTTTACAAAGTATTTCCTTGCATGACTGAAATTGACAAAATAATTTTACATTCGACCTCTATGGATGATTTATGTGCCACACAGACACGCACGCGCCAAAGTGCATGTAGAGTTGAATAATATTACCAGCCTATGTGCTTATAGTGGTAAACCTATTTAGGCATATAATTTACTTTATATATATACTATTCAAATTGCAGAATGCACTATTATCACAAGGTGCCATATATCAAACACAAGACTTGTTTAAAATTTAATTTAATTTTACTCAATATTAACAAACCAGCATGCAGAAATATTCACCTGCTATTTAACTCATGAATGAGAATACTCACTTGACAGCCTGTAACCGTAGATTTTTCCTGATCAACTCAATAAATTCCTGCTGTCTTAGGTTGAACTCCAAGTTACTCTGAAATGATGACACAAGCATGAACTGATTATGTTAGGAGAACTAATAAAACAATCTACCTCTGAACCTCAAAAAAATGTGTAATTAGGTATTTCTTCATATTTTTTCTTGTTCAAATAATCTTGTATCTAAATTTGCAGACCTTTAAAATGTGCTACCATTGAAAAATACTAGTAAGTTTTTGATATGGTTGATAAGAAAATATATGACGTACTTTTAGCTTTCTTAACTTTGATTTGTTGTCATAGCACCATGACAGGCACTCTGTCGTGTCATGATTTGCAAGCGATTCCTCGACTTCTTTGGCAACTAAGAAAATGTCTAGGTTTGTCAGATCCTATTGTAAAGAAAAAATAGAGTAAAACACACTAGTAACCACAATCTATGAGCAATAGTTCAGCAACAAATTCAGTGCACCACTCTTGAGCCGTAAACACCCTAATTAGATATAGCGCGGTTTTTAAGGCATGGTAAATACACCCTATCAGAAAGTTTACTATGAAACGTGATTGTTCACTGCTTTATATTTAAAATTGCAAAAACATGCTACGACCCTTGCTACGTACACTGCCCTGCTACGACCCCTGCTACGTACACTGCCCTGCTACGTACACTACCCTGCTACGTACACTGCCCTGCTACGTACACTGCCCTGCTACGACCCCTGCTACGTACACTACCCTGCTACATACACTGCCCTGCTACGTACACTGCCCTGCTACGTACACTACCCTGCTACGTACACTACCCTGCTACGTACACTGCCCTGCTACGTACACTACCCTGCTACGTACACTACCCTGCTACGTACACTGCCCTGCTA